GGGGGGCATGAAACGCGCACAGAGAGACGAGTAATCTGAAAAAATAGTCTCACGGCAACAAGCCGACAACAAGGCGAAAAGTGAAAAACGGCACAGTATAATTAATACACTCCATACTTCCCATCTCTCCCGCCCCCTCAATTATCGGCATATCCATTCTGTCAGTGTCGAGGTGTAGTTAATGAAAGTGAACGAGTTGGATATCCTACGTATCGCGTGCATGCAAGAGGGAATCGCCGAACCAACAGAAAGAGAGAGAGAGATGGCGTAAGTGAGAGCGCGGGTGTAGATGTCGGTAACAGCAGGGAGGGAGGGGAATAGTAGGGGCGAGAGAGCGCGGGAGAGCTGGCGCTTTGTGGAGGGGGAGCAAAGAAAGCCGACAGGGGGGAGGCTGCGCGCGGCAACACACACCGGCCGCAGCATCCGTCCCGAGTCAGTCGACTGCCGGATTCCGTTGCGATCGAGTCATTGCCGGTCGACGCGCGCGTTATTAATTATCCCATTTCTCGTGTCAGTCAGAGTTCGCCCTGTCTGTCTGTTCGTTCCTTCGAATTCGCAACGTGGAATAAGAGAGAAAGAGACAGATCACCGCGACGACCTCCAGGATAGAGAAACCGGTCGGCATGACTTTTGTCTGCCGCGGTCAATTGTGAACCGTTGTGCTTGCGAAGCCGCGTTATCGGACATACGATTTCCTTCACGCACCCTGAAAATAGTCCCGCCGTTAGGAGATCCCGAAAAATCCCGTCCACGTCGGAGCACCGTTGATCGCCGGAGTGACGGCGGGGAAAGCGGAGAAGCCAGACGGATCATCGGAGCGAGGTATGTATTTTTCTCGGGACTGTATACGTGTGTCTAATGTGACAGGGGAGAGGCGTGAACGAGCGTTATAACGCCAGCTGACGCGAAGCGTCACTTCGCGCCTCGAAATAGACCGCAGCGGCGTGATACTCCCAGACGCGGGTACACTCAAGTTTCGAGCTGCGTCATATTCTGAGGAAATGCATGCGGACGATACCGCATTTAATGCCGTTAACGGTGTCACCGCTAATTAGTAATGCCATATTCAGTGGGACCTGCGCGACGCTGATTATCAGTAATGTAAAACAAACATCGAATAGGCAGACAGTGAGCTATTGCTAGCATCATAATTAATATTGTAAATTTCGTTATGAAATGCAGCAATTTCGCTAAACAATTTCGCTAACAACATATTCACACACGGCTCCCAAACGATAGGAAAATGCAAATTAGTCGTTATGGTGAGCGGATATTACCGTTGAGTGTATACTCGCGCCTGCGCATATTTTTGCTGTAACACTTGGATATCATAGTAATTTGGATTTATCATTCAACGAGTTGCCGATAATCAACATTCAAGGAACGACCGTGAAAAAAAAATGCGGAGAGAACGAATAAGAACTCGCGTTTATGGCGACTCTCTTGATAGGGATCGACGACGAAAAGACTCGGAGCATCTCTCGGCGCATGATCGCTCGCGGGGGGAAATTTATCGGCGGGACGAGATCTAGAAACCGCGATTCCGGTTAACGAGTTCAAATAACGAATCGGTCGTCGTCGCTGCGGTGACATGACGTAATGCCGTATTATCATCGTAGGCCGCGTGGGATGGCCTCAAAACCCGTTCTTCTCTCTCTCTCTCTCTCTCCTCCTCTTCTTTTTCGCAGATCGGCAGCGGTGGACGACCGGTGGTCTCCCCTTTGCCCCGTGACACCGTTTATCTTTCTATGCTTCACGCACACGCCCGACAGTCCGTCGTCGAGGCAACACGTTTCGATCGTTTTGTCGTTTCACCCCCAAAATCGCCAGACTTTCGCGCGGGTGAATCGTCCGAGGGACTGTCTGAATGATTCCGAGAGATACATGAAAAAATTTCTCTTATTCGTCGAGCAATTGTATTTTAACGATATATTATATCGATCCTTTTTTTGTATTTTTTTTTATCATTTCAGAGATATTACTAGCGAGGAGAGCATAATTGACGAAATTGTCACGAAATTATCACATTAGTCAATTAGTCGTTCTATGCTTTTGCCGCGGGTGTGAATTTAGATCATTAATTTGCTAATTTTGCACAATATATTGCTGTCCTTTCGGCATCATTTGTCTAACACGTTTGCTACCAGCATACATATGCGACGTAATGATATCTCACGAGAGACCAGCATTACATATGTGTGATAGCAAGCAGTTTTTTCTGTGTCCGTATTTTGAAATTGTCTTTTTTTATACGATCGCGTAAAAAGAAACAAGATGATCCGCGGAGAAAATCCTTTAAAATGAAATTCTGGTAGTGCGAACGTGTTAAAATTAATTTCAAATATATTGCAGTCTGCTCATACGACGCGATATATTTATTTCAAAATATTCTTTCCAACGTCTCCTTCTAGTATGTATCGGAATATATAATCGTCAAAACAGCGTGCTTAAAATTCATTTATAATGATCGCAGATTCACCGTAGATCGATTCAACAGAACTTGCGGCAAGCGAAATCGCGTTTTATCGCGGTTTAAATACGATGATAATGTCTTCCTGTTTTTGCGACCGCGCGACTCTAGTTTTTTGCCGTTGTTTCGGTATTATTTCACGATCTAGGAACATCTCTTGAGACCCGGAGTGTTCGAACGCTTTACCACCGACATATGTTTGCGGGATCACGACGTTTGGTCAACGCGTTAATTGTAATAATGCCGTGACGATCGACACGGCCGTCGATTCGTCATGTAATAACACGTTCCATTGCGCATCGCATGCGATGCAACTAGCGAGATTGTCGAACGGTCGTCCACAGAATCGACCTTGAACGAAAATTGCTATGCGTTACGTCAGACACGTTACACGCACAGCAATAATCTAACATAATCTTGCGAGAAACTCGTGAGATAATTATATCAGCGTTATTCCTAAAGTCCGGCAATTTAAATCGATGGATCGACTTCTCCGCGGCGACTCGATGCTTTTCTCATTATTCTCATTACTCTCCTCGTGCCCCATTTAAATTACTCTTGTACCTATAAATACGAAGGCTCTATAAATAAATTGCTCCTTTCATATCTCGGCCATCGAACCCGATAAAATATAATTACGTCAAATGTGCAGTAGTACGTGTGCTTCACAAGCGGGACGATTTTCATGAAGTAAGGCGAAGTTTTTGCAGTCGTTTGTAATTAGATCTTCCACCATACAGGGTATATTATAAAGTTTCATCGAAGTATGCTCAGTTGTTTGACCTTAGAATTTATACAGTAATGTGCTTTCACAAATTAAGAGCAATATCGCTCTAAAAGAAAGTAATCGCTTTCATTTTGTTTTTGATCGTTTTAACATTTCAAAGGAGAATAAATATTTCCTTTAGTTTTTACTCGCGAAAATATGAATTTGTATTCCCCCTGCGATATCCAGTTTGGTTAGAATATCGGAGTAAAACTCGAGACCTTCTTGCTTCATTGGAGCATATTGCTAGTGCAATGTCTAATATGCCGGAATATATTTAGCTCGCAAAAACTTCAGCTCATAGTTTCATCTTATTTAGAAGTTTGAAAGTCGTCTCTCTCCCTTTCTTTTTCCTTCGCTAAATTAGCTCGCTCTTTTGCATTCAAATTACAGTGTCGTCAAATTGATACCAACGAACTTTGGCGACACAGATAAAAAGTGATGCTTTAACTTGACACAACTTTCTGAATTTTGTTGTCCGCAGATCAGCTTTCTACACATGCGACACTTCATAAAATTTTTTGTAAACCTCCTGCGGACGTAAAAAAAATTGTTACACCGAGATAAAACGACAAAAAAGGTGATAGGACTTTTGGCATTTATAACTCTGTCGTTTTTGACGCAACGGGAAAATGTCACTCGTCGTAAAATGTCCCAGTTGTAAAAATAACTGAAACAATCAATTTGTAGGGAATAGTTTGACGTGTAGTGCAGACTGCGCTGTCATCGACCGTTCCGAGATGGATGTGCGAGAATAAAGAACTTTGCTTTATCGCGACCCTCCCTTCTCAACGTAAACATGTATCAATTGTATACACGGTGCGCCAAAACGCCCGATCTTAATTTCATTCGCGAATTCTCATCAAGTCGCAACGATAACTTGTTACGACCGTTTTCATTCTGCATTAGCGCGTTATCCGCATTCACGAAAAATAACCATTGTGTTCGCTCTCCGTTAATTCCATCAACGTCACAATGTCTCTTACGTCTTGTATTTTTCTTCTTCGCAATTTATCGCGCGGCGTTTTCTCGCGACGTGAAACTCGCGCGGCTAATGTATTCAAGAATTTCCAGCGGGAAGACTTCCCAAAGAGGGCGAACGACTTCGCAACGACGCGGCCGGGCAAATTATTTCGGCGGTGCCGGCAATTCGCTGGAAATTGCGTTTAAAATTTCGTAATACGCGAAAAGTCGTTGGACGCAGTTAGGGTCATTCTCTTTTATGTTGAACTCGACGATACGGAGGGAACGAGCCACTGAACTCTCGCGCTCTCGACCCCCTTATTCCTCGTCGGGACCTTGCTTACCGTTTGCCATTTTATTTCTTTTTCTTCCCGTCGCGTCGCTCCTCCCCTCTCGTTTCCCTCTCTTCCGAATGTAGCCTCACGTTTGCAGCACGTGTCGTTGCTTCCATTCCCCCGCGTTCGTTACATGTCGTCGAGTGCGCATCCGTGAATTTTACGAAACGTTAAAGTCGGAAAGAGAAGGAGCACATCTGTAACGATACAATATAACAGTGTTCCGTTTGCATCGCTGCGTCTTTAGCACGTTGCTTTTCGCGCGAACGTAGAATTTTCGTGGCGGCACGTTTCTCTCTTTTATCTCATAATCGTGGGATGTAAAAGTTCTTATTCACCAATGCGATATATGCTGTCTCGTATCGACAGAACCGCGACAAAACGCGCGAATCTTTTATGCAATTCGAATCTATTGACATATTAAATTGTGATTTGTCTGACGTTTAAAAAATTTGCGTTAGATTTTTTTTATTTGGATTTTATTATTAACACTGAATGGATCGTTAAATAATTTTTAAGACTCCGCGGTAACAGCGAAATGTCGTTTCCAAGAATTTTCGCCACGTTACATAATTCATGGGAATATCGACCGGAAGCAAAACGATAAAATTTCCTGTTACGAGCTAATTTCGCCCCATAAAATCGTTTCTTCGTGACAAAGAGCTCGCACGTCGTTTCCCTTGAAAGCGGGGTTGCATGCGTGACACGTATGGTACACCATTCTTCCAGTAATCATTGTAATGAACTTCTGTAATAAACTTTTTCGCGCTGTTTCTGGAACCAAAATACGCAATTCTTTCGTTTTTCAAACATATATTCTCTTTTAACTATTCGGATTTTAGCAGCGTGACATTTATGTACATAGTTTTGTAATTAGTTCTGAACATAGTTCTGTACATAGTTTTGTAACGGAAAAAAAAGTCTGTCTATACTAATGAAAACAACCAGATGTATTTTGGTTGAAGGAAACAGAATTTCTGGTTATAAGAATTACATTTTGGTTATAAAAACCAGAAATTCTGTTTCCTTCAATCCAAAATGCACTTGGTTGCCCTCTTTCTGGCTAATGTAACCACATTTTTTCCATGCATTGTTATTTCAATAGTTTTTTTGCGTAAAAACAAAATAAAATCCTTGTTATTAATAGTAGAGGCGGAGAGAGAGAGAGAGAGAACCAATCAAGTACACTAAGTACGTAATTATAGCAAGGGACACAGATACCCGCACACAGTTACTCGATGTCAAAATCTGTTTCGTTAAGGGTTCGTTTCACGTCCCATTCTCGTAAACATCGTATGCGTATGTCGAGCTTTAAAACGCGCTGGAGCGGGCTTTTACGACGCGAAATTTTAAGTACGCCATCATCATGCCGCTCGTTCATAAATAATAATTCCCGTTAGGTTCCACGACTCGATCTAGGCCGACTGCGTTTGTTCGAACTACGTCAAAAAAATTTGTCCGTTCCTCCTCGACCATGGAACGACATAAAACAAAAAATATAGCCGAATGAACGGCGAGGTTGAACGCAATCGGAACAAATCGCAGTCGAGGCGAGAAATTAGCTGAAAACGCGTTATACTCGGTTTTTTTATTTTTTATATTTTTTTCCAGTGCGGTTTCGTTGCATACAACGTCCGGCAATATGTGTAAATTTCTGTACAATTTCGCCTCCCTGTCGCGTCAGCGTAAAATGTTATTTGACGCGGACAAACTTTTCGATGTATTCAACCAATTATTCCTTTTCACGTGGCTTTTTCGTTTCACACGTGTATTTCTTCTTTTTTTTTCTTTGCACTATTTTTTAAGCGTCGCACTTAACTGCGTCAATAGTTACTGACGTGAAAATGAGTCGTTTTATCACAACGTGAATCTGTCTGCCTGATGAAATTTAATGCCTGCTGATCAGATAGAACGGCATATGAATGATTTGCGACATGGCGATGAGTGCATCGCGAATTTCGTGCATTATAAGTAATGTATTCTCATTCGATGTCTGTTTAGACTTTTCCACAACTAATGTTTCGCGAAACATAAGAGACATCCCTTACATCTTATGCAGACATCGGGGTGAGCTGGCATATTTCGCTTGTAAATGTTGAGTGCCACGCAAGCGCGCGCTCGCTTTCTCGCTTCGATTTCAGTTTTTCATCTTTTTTCCGGCCGTTTGACTTGCAACTTCTGTTCCGCATTTAAAACGGAAATTAAGCGGCGTCCACCGACGAGTGTTGTGCCCGCTTGTCTCTCGTTGCTCTCGTCTTCTCTCGTACTTTACGTCGCGGCTTTTCTCTCTCTCTCTGTTTCCTACCGCTTCCCTCATTGCGCGAAACACAATTTAACTCCGTCTAGCGAAAACGCGAAAATCTTCGCGAAGCGGGCGCATTGCGTCGCGAATATTAACCAGTTTGCGAACTGAATCGAACTTGCGTTCGGGAGGGAGGAAAGTGTGTAACATGTGCGAGAAATTGCAGGAATAACGCCAGAGACTGACCGATCGAACCGCATTTTGCTCGCAGGTCAAATACGAGAAGCGAACGGCTTTAACCCCTCCGTCGGCGATAACTAGTGCAATTCACTCGGAACCTTAAATCTTTCACTGTTCATTTTCAAGACTTGGTTTAGAAACAGACCCCTTCTGAGTTACCTCGCAGTTCATTTTGAAATCTACAGATGACCGAAGTAAAAGTAATCGTATCTCATGGTACGCGAAGAAGTTCCACTTGTGGAACCATTAACGCGATTGCTTAAAAAAATAAAGTCAGTCAGTCAGGTAGCATTGAAAGAGGAGCTGACGCGAATATCTAAACGTCTCTTTCTCTATTTCTATCTATTCGCGTTTCCAATATCGTGTTGTATTTGCGGCGAGTTACATGCGACTAGGAGACGACAAGAGTTCCAACGGACGGTGCATCACGTTGCGGCCGATGCGCACATTACGCTTATAGGGAGATCGTGTAGCGTGACTTGAGACTTTGGGAATACCGCGAAAGCAATAACGCACCGTCACGGCTCGCTACACTGTCAGCCGCATGCACGTAGTTGGCGTGTGCACTCGGCGTACCTGGAGACACATATAGTCGCGCAAATTTCCACGTATCGACGTAAGCGCGTGTCGTTTTGATATACGCGTCGCGCAAAAATATACGATACTTCCGCCGACGCGCATTTGTACGCAAATAGATGCGGCACTAGTCGCGTTTATTCGCTGCGAATAAAAATTGAGGATTCCGAATGGCGGCTGACTACATCGAGTTGCACTTTTGCGGCGAAATGGAGGGAATCCGTTTATTGCAATTTTTACCGCGTGATTTCCTGCCATAAAGAAAAGTTACCAGGACTGCCTCGTAAAGTTTACGGTAAAAATACCGGGGGAAATTGATCTGAGTTTCGCGGGGTATCCGTGTGAGAACCGTTGAATTCGTAATTAGCGATCTATTGGCGCTCGAAGGCGTTAGATATCTCTCTTCCGAGAATATCCCTTGAAAAGGAAAATCCGTTCAATTTATTATGTACACGCTCGCACGTAGAATCGATTGTTTTTACCAATGTTCATCCGTGTGGTTGAACACGATTTTCTCAGTGCTGCATTCCTGGGGTGAGCCGCTCTTTCGGAACGTGTATGTATAAACACGTGCGTTGCTGCACAAAGAGACGAGACAAGACGAAATGCAGACACGCGGTGAACTCTCGTAGTTTGAAACGTCTTCCGTTGGAATTCCCAGCATCCTCAATGTTCCAAATGCCCTCCAAAGGGGCACTCTCGCGCCCCTGCGCTCGTAGGCCGAAGCAGGATATTTCCAGCCAAGCTACTCAGCGAGGAATTTGATCCTGCTGCGAACGCTCGAAATCGCGGCACAGTATAGAGAGTGCGTTAACTACCACGAACTTTCCACCCCTTCCTGCACTGAGAAACCCATTTAGTTGAATTCTTGACTATGGGCGAACCAATTTTTTCTTATAAGAACCAAGGTTTAGTTCTCTGAACGAAAGATTTGGTTCTTTGAAACTTCTGAAACTTCAAAGAGCCAAACCTTCGGTTTGGACAACCAAACTTTGGTCATTACAACCAAAAAATTGGTTCGCCCATAGTGAAACAAGAATTTAGTTGATTCAACTAAACGGGTTTCGAGAAAGCATCGTTTTGCTTTTAATATTTAAACGTGTACCGAAGGGACACTATCGCGTGGTTCACAGGATGCCGCTCTCTCTCTCTCTCTCTCTATGAGAGAGAGGGGGAAAAAGGAAGAAGGAAAATTTAGCGGAAACGTCGGACGTATATCGATCGACGAAACACTTTTTAATTTTGGCTGAACGTACGAAGAAACGAGGAAAATTCTGCTGGATCGCGATGAATCGCGGCAACAAGCGGGTTTTCGTAACTTCTCTATAGGTGAAAACGCGTGAAGAGGGAGAGAGAAAAGGATTCTTGGTCAATTTTCGACGGCGTATCCCTCTTGAGCGTTCTATCCGCTTCTGATCGCGCGGCTATTACGCGCGCTCGGCGAAATTAGGGTCGTTTAGCTCGGCAATTCCTGCTGCGCCGAATGTCTATCGGCTGGCTGGAAATAGTGCCGCTAAAGGGCAGAAAGGACCGCGCTTATAACTGTCTGCCGGCGGATTATCGACGCGATATCTCGCGGTTTGCCTCTACCCGCCCGGCCGTTCACCCACCCGCACCGTATCGTTAGCATCATCGTGGCGGAGAGGGAGTATCGACTGGATATTTATCGCCGGTCACGTTTCGCACAACGCTTTCATGTTACGGGCTCAGCTACGCAGTGTTTCGGACGCCGCTCGTCTTGTTATTACCGGTACCGTTGCGGACCCGACGGGTAATTCATCATTCCGCCGCGGCTACGGACGCTTCATCAACGATGAGCGCGAAATTTCGCGGTCGAGAGTGTCGAAAATGCTCGCGGGCTAATTTAAAATGTCGCCGTTTCCCTTTCGTGCAGAAGAATTTCATTCCTCTCTGCTCGAATATATTACTTTTATATATTATTTTATATTTTCGATATTAAACGTTCAGACCAGCGATCCTTGAATTTTCCAGACAAACTCGCACATGTTTCTCGTTATTACAATGACGAAAATATTTCGATATACGCAGGATAAATAAATGATTGGAAGAGGTTGCGGTAAGTTGATAGCGTATGTTTAATCGTAAAAACAGAGATAAAATATGTCGAGCGTTCTAATT